CATTTTATGGTCAAAGAAGTCAGTTCGGTGGAAGGGATGGAGAAGATAAATGGTAGCAGATCCGCGAGTTTAGTAGTGATTTCAGAGAACATGGCACAGCCCTTAAAATAAAATTAATCTTAATGCTGCCTAATTTAAAAATAAATATGCCATAAGCCATCACCATTCAAGCTTCATTTGGCAATCTTCTGCAAAGTCTGGAAGCCCAGATGACTAAGAGCATAGTACCATGTTCATTAAAAGCTTAAGATAAGAATGGTATTTATAGACTGATTTTATAATTGTCAAAGCACTCTTCACATATATTCTCTGATCTGATGCTCACAGCAACCCAGGAAGTCAGGCGGTATTGTCTTTCATCCATTTTTAGGAAACTAAGTCTTGTAGAGCTTTAAGTGACTTGCTCAAGACCACTGGCTGATACGCCAAGCCAGAATTCCACCGCTTTATCATTTCCAAACTTGACTCTCCATGAGCAGCAAACCAAAGAGGGGCAAGTGTGGGGAGAAAAATAGAAGCTCTAGTGGTACCTGGAAGCACATTGGAAGATTTTGGGGTGGAGAAACTTGCAAGAAAGCACAGCCCTTTTAACAGTGCTGGAACAAAGCGAAGGTGGGCAAAACCCCACACTTGTCACCGAGGCATTCAGCTACAGGCACTTCAACAGGAAGAAAATGTTGGGCTGGTACAGACAGGGCCCCTTGGATACCCTGCTCTGTAATTAACATGATCTTAACATGGAAGACGGCATCTCTTCCCCTTCTTTGAGCTTGGGGCCGTTGTGTCATCCTGGATGTTCTGGCCACTGTTGTTGCTATGACTACAGAGGTGTCATGGATGCCTTCACTGTAGCTTTAGGAATCCCTGAGAAGATCGTGCTGAAAATTCTTAGTGTCAGATGGCTCAAGGGAGATTCTTGTAATGGTTCTGCTATTGGCAAGGCATTAGGAGGCTCTCAGGACACTGCAGCAAGACGTTTTATTAGCACTCCTGAGATTCCGGTCCCTTGGGAGTACACAGCTGAAACCGGAGATCTTAAAGGGATCTTCCTGAAAATGGGTGGGCACTCTAGTCAGTCACTTGACCCATGAGGCAGGCGACCCAGACAAAAGTGACTACTACTGGCATGCCTACATCTGACTATGCAGTAGGATCACCCAGAGAGCTTTTGCTATCCTGGTGCCTAAGTGATAACTTACTCAAATTAAATTACAGTGTCTAGGGTAAGAGCCAGATAGCAATATTTTTGAAAGACCCCAGCCGATTCCAGTGTGCAGCAAATTTTGCAATCCATGGCTTTATGATTTGTCTAACATCACACAAGTGGGGACAAGAACCTACCACGTTTCAACTCCATTGTCTTGACCCCAATTAGACCCTTAAAAATGAAGGTTAAGTAGATACAGCATTACTCATGACTACCCTTCCAGGTAAATATGTTTATCCCGGTTCACTGATGGAGAACCTAAGTGTGTTTTCATTTGGCCCGTGAGCCCTCCTTAAATGTGGAAGGAGACACTCCAGTGATGCTCACCCCAGGTGTCAAACAATCAGTGACATACACTGAAATGTTTGTAAAGGGCCTAGTCTGTGCCAGCCCTTGTCCCGGGCTGTGGGGATAAATGGCGAACAAGGAACATAAGGCTTTGCCCTACCAGAGCTTGTAAGCTTGATGAAGGACCCAAAGACCTATTTCAGCAATTCCAACTCTTTAGGGTTCAGGCTGAGATGGGAACTTCTTTTACTTATTTCTAGCTGGGCCTTGTTTCTTCAGGAGGATTTGTGGCGGCAAAAACATGCATAATGAAGATGTTAGGATATAAATAAGAAACAGAAATCAAGACTAGGGAAAATATAAATAAGAATGGAGAGTCAAGAACAGAAGAAGAAAAATTCATAGTTATGCAAGTCATAAGGATCCGCTTGGGCTGAACCTCAAATTTGGCATTAAGTGTTCTGGCAGCCATATTGAAAAGGGAACTATGGTGAGTTATTATTGTCAGAAAGACAAAAAAATACCAGTTCCTCAGGGAAGGAAAGGCTTTCCCAACACTTGGCTCTTGAGGAAATGTCTCATGTGGAATTTTATACAATCTCCAAGAATATTCCTAGAGTGACTACAAAAATGAGTTTTATGAGGCAGGACCCTGTAGACCCTTGCAAGGAAAGAGAGGATGAGAAATGAAAATGAATTTAATAAATCCATTTTTGTCATGAGTAGTCAGAAGTAAGTTGATTCAAGTCAAAACACATTAGATAAATCTATGGCTGGAATACCTATGGAAATGCACAGATTAGACACCCTTCATACTTTTTCTGTCTTGGGATTTTGATAAGGCACATAGATAAAACATTTTCAGGGGTAGAGCTAAAGTGTAAGTTTTTCGCTTTGTAGATAATGTAGTGGTTTATATCAGGGGTTAGCAAACATTTTCTATAAAAGATGGTAAATATTTTAGCCCCTATGGACCAGACAGTCTCTGTTCTAACGAATCAGCTCTGCAGTTATAACACAAAAGCAGCCCTAGAGAATACAAAAGGACTGGATGTGTTCCAATGAAACCTGATTTATACAACTAGGTGGCCTGTCCAATTTGGCTGACAAACTGTATTGCCAACCCCTGGTTTAAACTGCAAATTTACAAAAGCAAAATGTATGATGGGTATGCTTTTGTTGGAATCACGGAACATTGAGAAACTTGGCAAGTCTTGTTTAGTGGTGACTCTGGCCTCGTAATTTAACTGAAAGTAGGTGATGATGCATACTGGAGAGGACATGGCTTGTGTTCAGAATGCACATTCATTAAGTTCGCTGAAAGAACATGGAGACACCCAAGCACGCCAGGGCAGCTTCCCACATCAAAGTGACACTCGGCAGACAGGGATCTGGGGTTACTGCAGCCCAGAACTGGGCTGAGTCTAGAACTTCTGTCCCGCCATGTGGAGGAGGAGAACAGTGATGTTCCCCACTTGGAGGTCTCACAAGGCAACAGGGGTTCTCTGGCGAGATCTCATGGCTGTGTCCTTAGGAAAGAGAGAAGGCTGGGCAGTCAGCAGTACCTCATGCACACCTTTGTCATCGTTTCAAACGCAAAATCTACTCCAGGCTAGCAGGTGTAGATTCTAACCAGCCTTCTGGAAGAACAGCCAAAGATAGGGCGACCCACAAGGAAAAAAAAGTAACATCATTTCACTGTATAAAAGCTTTGTTGTGAGTTGATAATACATGTTGATGGTTTGTTATGGCCTGAGTTTCTGAATACCTCCCACTGGCTGTATAAGACTCTGGGGATATTAATGAATTATTCGTTAATTACATTAATGGTGTCATGGGAGCTACAGGAAAGGATTGAGTTTGGGTGGTCATCAGAAGAGGGGGCCTCAAGTGGTTTGGAATCTATAAAAACAGGGGACTTAGGGCTTCGACCTTAAATATTGCTTTAACCAACTTGGGCATAACCCATAGTCCTGAGCAACTAGTTGTCTACTCATGTGTCCCATATATGGTGACAAGGAGAGTGCAAGCTTATAAAGAAATGACAGCTTCAAAGGAGTTTGTAGAAACATGACCATGGATGCAGTCATGGAACCTTTGGGGCCTCGTTGTCTGAACATAATTTGGTCTAGAACACTTACTAGGTAGTAGGGAATTGAGGCATGTACTCCATTTGGAATGTCCTAACTATTCACTCCTCCGGCTGAAGGTGGTTAGGAAGATGGTTGCCCCTCCTTATACTATGGTTGCGGTGACTAGTCCAGGCTTATGGAGAGCAAGGACGGTGTCTTTCTCTTCATATCCCCAGGACTTAGCCCAAGACCGGGTCCCCAGGAGCTACTCTAGAATGTTTGCCCAACGAATGAATCCTGGTTAGTATCACCCTGTTTGCAAAGCTAGTATCGGAGAGAGATGAGTTGCCAGAAAGGGAGATGGCTCCTTTTTGTCACATGCATGGTGGCAAACAGTGAATCGCTATAAATGAGGCTAAGGCTGTTGTTTGGGGACAGGAACAAAATATGCCAACAAAACTTAAAAAGCAGAAAACCATGCAGATGGAATCATAGTGGTCCCCACCCTCCCTTCGACCCCAGCAGATATGGGGGTAGGGTCAGGGGTTGGCATTTGAATTTATATGTCAGGTATATTTTTAATCATAGCTTATTCTTAACAACCATGATTTAAGGCCAGATGCGTTTCAAGGGCCAATTTCTTAGGGTAAATGTCTGATGTCCAAGTTGCCTGAGACTTCTCCTTTTTCAGAAATAACAAGCAGCCAGACTAATTATTTTGTTTCCTCTTCTTCTATCCTCTGGCCTCTGCCGATATGCTTATTTATAACAAGGGCTTTATCAGTTGTCTTAAGAAAACAAATGTCCTTCAACAAATGTTCCAATATGATCTTCCGGTCCTATTTTTCACATATCCCTGCACTAACGAAAACAGGGGCATGGAAAATGGAAGCATTCTGAGCCAAAAGCAAATTAATAGTGCTTCAGTTCTGCCTCCCATGCCATCCTGGTAGCCAGGTCAGAGAGTAAGAAGGAAGGACAGAGCCAGGGAGAAGAGTTTGTGTGCAGGAACTGCAGGATCCAGCTGAGGCTCCAGACCTGACCACGTCACTGTAAGCTTCGGGTGCTACCGAGGGGAATGTGGGCACAAGGGAAAAATCGAAAGAGATGAACTTAAAGCAAAGCCTAGTAGCACGCAGGGTGGGCTTAACACAGACAGTTTGCTTTACTGTAATAGACAAATTGCCTCTTCCCACTGCATCCAGCAGTTTCTAAGGGACGAACTTTGGGCCCAGGGACATTTATTAAATATCACCCCCTCCTTGTCCCTCTGCCTCTTTCTGGCTCCCACAACTCCCGACCAAAGGAACTCAAACATCTGTTCATAGTTATGCCCCTAAGTCTCCCCCAGCATTAACCACATGTAGGTATTAATTGTTTCTACCTGTGTCTCCCATGATTCACTGATCCCTTCTGGCTGTTCTTGGTCTCAGGGCCTGAGGATCATTTTCTCAGATGCGTCTCGGCTCATCTTCCGGCTCAGTTCCTCTAGTGGCATGAGGGCCACCATCAGACTGTATGCGGAGAGCTACGAGAGGGATCCCAGCGGTCACGACCAGGAGCCCCAGGTACCCTCAGCACCGTGTGTCTCATCACTCCTGGAAATTTTAGGGAGCTCTTGGGGGCTTTTAGTCTGGGTGATTTTACTTTCTAGATGGATAGATCCCGCCGAAGGACAAGCTGACAGTAGGTAACTCCAGGCAAATTCCAGTCGTTCATGACAGTGTTTGGAACAGAAAATTGGGGGTTTAGTCTCTGATGAGTTTAGACCAGCATTTCCCAGATGCCTTGCCTTTCTTGATTGTTCTGCAGTTTATTAAATTGGGATGACATCAAGAAACACTACATTGTGTAGAGAAATTTTTAGTTAGAGTCAAGCTGGTCCAACTCCTCAGAGCCTTGACTCTGCGTGTGTAAATAATGAATCTCCAGGTGTTTGGCCAACTCTTGGGTGGATCGTGACCTTGAGGTGCAGGTGTGGATGTCTCCTGTCTGAGATCGCTGCAGAGCGCAGTTTCTCTTAAGAAGTGGGGCAAGGGCTGGTCTGCATTTAAAGTTAAGGGGGGCTAAGCTAGACGAGCCAAGGCTGGGCCACCCTGTGTTTGGCAAAGCCCCTTCATGTTGTCAACAGCAGAGCTAATGAAGAACTCAGAAAAAATCATAAATAGCCCAACCGTAAGCATCTCCACTCTTATATTCATTGAAGCTGCAGGCAACCTTAATTAATAGCAGAAAGGACCTACCACAACATTGGATACTTCCAGCTACACTGCTCGCTGTCCCTTACCCCCTTGGTCTTTACGCCACTCTGGGTATGGAAGCAGAGTCCTGGATGAGCTGTTTCCTTGAGATGAAACCACTGGTTTCTGCAACACTTCCTTCGCGGAGAAGTAGAGAAGCAAAGAAAATCTCGCTACTTTTCATTTTAGAGTTACTCCAAATTACCAATGATCATTTGCCAAAGTTATGCTCTAAAATGAGACCAGAAAGGGTTTTCTTTCTTCGTTAGTGGTTTAGTGTGTTTTTCTTAAAATGGTATCTTTCTTGGGAGAGTCGGGGAGAGTCTCAAAGAACTTGAGAGATATGGTGCCATAGATCCCCACAGCTCACTACAGAACCAGATCTGTTTGGGGACAGATCATCTCAGATGGGGAAGGAGGGGCCCTGGAGGCTGAGAGCTGAGAGTATGAAGCTAATATAAGGCCCCGGGCATTCCCTGTCAGGGTCACAGGCTTTTCATGCAAGGACGGGCCACGCCCTGCCAACATAATTTGTCTGTGAGTACATTTCACCCAAGATAGTACCAAATCATGCAAGAATTGGAGACTTACCCTCTCTTTCCATATAAACCCCTTTTACTTCTCATGTTGGGAAAAGAGATTAAAACAAGGGCCTAAAAATCCAGAGCTACATACAGGGTGAGGAATGACATTCCTGGCCTCACCAACTCTGACTCACTCTGACTCAAGGCTATTTTTTCTCAACATTCTTTTCCCTGTTTGCACAGGCTAACTAGTTACAATACTTGCTTATTTGTATTTACCTTCCACACTGACTGCAGGAGTGTGACGCCTAGGCCTTTAGACATGTGCAGAAACAATCCTGTGCCCAATTGAGTCTCTCTCTGAGATGTTCCACCAAAGCCAAGGGGCACCATTTTTTTCCCCCCAGCGCTTCCTTTGATGCTGAAACCTCCATAGGCCTGCTGCTAGAGGGCTGTGTGTGAAGTACATGCTTCAGTCTGTGGGTAAAGAAAACATAATAATGCTTGAGTCCATGGCCAGTACTGTTTCTTTTCCATGTCGTTGGTTCCCAGAGTTTGCCATTTTGAATGGTTGGAGACTTTTTGTTGATGTTGTTCTTCTGATCAATAATCTGCCTTCTCTTTTTAATCCTGAGTCAGGGTCTTCCCAAACCTGGCTGGGGGGGGCGGGGGGGGGCTCACCATATTTAGCTCAGGATCCAGCCCAAAATTTCACCTTAAAATAGAACTCCTTATTAAAATACCTGATATCATTGGCTCGCCTACGGAAGCCCTATTCCATAACACATGCAAGTCAGGGGGTAGTTTAGAATAAGGGTTGAAAAGACATGGACACCCGTAAGGAAGAGGAAGAAGATTCTGAGCAGACTCACCATCCCAACACTGCTGAACCACATCCAGGCTCTTAAGTTTGTCTGTTTGAGGCCTCCTGACAGTGTTGCCTCTGAGGACCCCAGTTTCTGCCTTTGAGGAGCTCTGGAAGGAAATGCCTTTGGTCAGCCGTTAACAGAGATCCCAGATAAGGCATGCTCCTCAGGTTATTACTGATCTGTGGCCTGATGGGCAAAGACCAGCTGTACTGCTTCCTCTGCTGAAGACACCTCCTGCCACGTTCCAGCTAGTTCCGATTTGCAGCCCAGGAAAAGAACAGATACTGCCCCCCGCCAATGCTCAGACCCCCAGTAAAGTGCCTCTTGAATGTCTAGGGATTCCATGGATCAACTTTTCCAGTTCAACAGGTATTTGTGTTTTACCTGCCTTAACTCAGTACCCACCTATATTCCGGTTAATAGCGAAAGGACTAGAGAGTTCTCTTCCACTGGCTTCCCAGCATCTGGTTATTGTACTTTGCATGGATAGTTTCTTGTCCATACATCTTTGTTAAAGTTGTTATTTCTCGTTAGTTAGCACAGTGTGGTATTAGTTTCAGGTGTACAATGTAGTGATTCAGCCAATCCATGTGACTCATCACAAGTGTCCTCCTTCATCCCCATCACCCATTTCCTCCATCCCCCTACCTTCCGGTAACCCAGCAATCTGTCTTTATAGTTAAAAGTCTATTTCTTGGTTTGCCTCTCTCTCTCTCTCTCTCTCTCTCTCTCTCTCTCTCTCTCTCTTTTTTGGTACCTTTGCTGCTTTATTTTGTTTCTTAAATTTTACATATGAGTGAAACCATATAATATTTGTCTTTCTCTGACTGACTTAATTCATTTAGCATGGTACTCTCTAGCTCCGTATGTGCCATTGCCAATGGCAAGATTTCATTTTTTTTATGGCTGAATAATATTCCTGTGTGTGTGTACCACATCTTCTTTATCCACTCATCAATCAATGGACACTTCAGTCCAGACATTTTAAACACATGGAAACAGAACGTGTTTTAAACATTAACACTGTGGTTGCCTCAAAAAAGCGTCTGTAACCATCCCAGGGATGCAGCTAGGAAAATCTGTGGTGTAGCCTGTATGCTCAAGAATCCCTTCTCCTGCCTGTAGATTTATTTGGGTACATTTTCACAACAGTTACTATGGTATTTATTTTAAGTGATTTAAAATAATTTTATTACCTCAAAAAATATTTTTAAAGAATTCTATCCACCTACCTCTAGGAATGGGTGGTGAGGGGAGGAAGAAGATGAGGGGAACTGGGAGAAAGGACAAGGTGCTTACCTTGCCCTTGATCTGTGTCCTTGGTTAATTAGGAAGGAAAGCCTCCAAGGCCTATTTCTGGAAGATCACATAGTTTTGAAAATGCAAGGGTAATTTTACCAGCAATCAGTAGGCTTTCAATAAGACGTCAAACCAGCTGGTAATAATTTGGAAAAAGGGATGAGCCAAGAGGATTTAAGTTCACAGGTGACCAGAAACAGCCCCATTATTTTCCACTTTCTTTCCCACCAAGCTTATTAGTGGGAGTGCTCAATTAACTTTTTATTTACCTTCTCTCTTTTTCCCTTTGAACCTGAGGGTGGAGTAGCTCCACGAACAATAAAAATCCAGAGGGAAAAGGAAGGAAAAGTTTTTTTTAAGGGCTGGATAATCACATCCTGATAATCAGCTTGTGGGTCATCAACAGTTGACTGTACCCTATCCCACCCCAAGTTTTGGTTTGAGACCAGTTTTCCCCAACCCTCCTTACAGTTGACAGGAATTGATGTATTTCTGATATGCTGTATATAGACTAGTTTAAGGACCAATATCTAAACACCAGGAGTCATATAAGGAATTCATCTGTCCAACCAAGAGCTGGCGGCCATTTTGTTCTACTTGTTCTTACGAGGACTTTATCATCCAAAAATGTTAAGTACAGAGCCATTTTATGTTACATTGGGAGAACATAATTTCTCATCTAAACCCGGATACACTTGAGAGTGAAAGGAGGCACTAATAATTATGTTGAAACTGCCCCCAATAAATTAGAACATTGGGTTATTCTAATTACATACCTTCATGCTACCCTAGATCTGGCTGTCTCTTTAGAGATGGGCTTCTGAGGACACTTCCCCATAAGCCTAGTAGTGCAGAGGAAATGTTCCAGGAACGAAGAGTTGGATCTGGGATTCTAACCCAGGCTACACGCCAGGACCACTTGGGGACTTTGGTAAAGATGCGTGGGCCTCATTCCCAGAGATTCTACCTTAATTTTTCTAGGGTGGGGACTGCATTTTTGAACAGTTCCCCAAATGGTTCAAATTAGGTGAGTGCTCTCAAACTTTAGTGTATATTTAAGTCATCTGGGTATCTTGCTAAAAATTCAGATTCTGACTCGAACTGAGAAAGGCCAGAAAGTTTGCATTTCTGCACACTCCTAGGCAATATTGTGCTGCTGGTCCAGGAGCCACACTTTTAATAATGAACAGATGAACTCCTAAGCCCTATAGACAAATCATTGAATTTTTTAACATTATAAGAAGAGCAACACCTGTTTTTAGTGCCCTTGTGTGCATGGGCCCCTATTCTTGGGATTTCTCTCTCAGGTAGCCCACCCAACTTGACTTAAACAATAGTGACCTCCAACAGCACACTCTACCAATGTGACCTTCAAAGCACAACCAGAGTCTGGCCCTCCCTTGCCACCTCTACCATTTCTATCCAGGGCCAGGCTAGTGTTCTGGCCTCTAGATTATTGCATCCCTCTCCCACCTGGTCTCCCTCCTTCCACCCTTGCCTAGTCCCCACCCACACCCTAGTCTTAGCACAGCAACCAGAATGATTAAAAAAAAAAAAAAAATAGATCCCCTCATTGCTCTGCAAAAATCCTTTAGTGGCGCCCCATCTCACTCACAAAAGAACCAGAATCCTTACC